CTCATGCAGGCTGTGTGTTGTTGGGGAGGGTCTGCAGACCACCACCTCCCCATCCTCAAAAACATACACAACCAGGGATCCTGCCCAGAGCCCCTCCCACTGCAGCCTGGGCCCCAGGAAGTCACAGAAACTCCCTAGGGAAGGTAGTTTCCATGAGGACACAGTATGGGAGAAGCCTCCCAAAATATAAAAGGAGATAGGGAGCAGAGGTTCCATGAACTGGCATAGGTATGAGGCAGCATGGCTTCGGCTAGAAGGAAAAGGGTCTGCACAGTCAGACTCCCACCATCAGTCACAGTCAAGCACAGCCAGATGCGGTCACAATCTCCCCAACCCTCAGTCTGAGTAGGTGGCTGTGACTCCTTCCCACAGACAGAAGTCTGGGGGGGGCCCTGGGGAAACTGGGGCATCGGAGACCACACACACTCAGCCTGAAATGGCCCTCCAGGCAGGTCCCTCAAGTCCCGCCCCCAACTGTGGGCCTGGAGGAAGGGGCAGCTCCCTCCCCACAAGAACAAGGGCAGTGCCCACGGCAGCCATCTCCATGGCAACCAACAACAAACATCCCGGGGAACCACAGTGGGACAGGAAGTGACAGCCACGTGACAGGAAGACTTTTTTTTTCAGTGTTGGGAGGGTGATGAAGATTGAGCCCCTGGGGAATCAGCTGTCCCCTGAGTTTCCCCCACTTGGGGCTGGAGGGAAGGTGGGTGGCTGGGAGAGTGGCCAACCCCTACCGCAGTGCGCACAGTTGGTCATAGGCCTGACGGGCCCTCCCTCCCTGCCTGCCACTCACGCTCCCCCCCTTTGGTCTCCCTCCCCTCCACTTCCTGCCGTGACTGGAGATCAGAGAACTCCCCACCGCAGCTTCCCCTTCTCAAGTCTCGATTCCTGGGCTGAAGGTTTCACTGTGGGGCGAGGGACAGAAGGAAGGAGGGCTGGGGACCTTGCGGTGGGACCCAAGGGACAGAGGCTCCGGGGAGGGGCAACGATGGAGCCACTCCAAGGTAGGTGTGTACACACAGGCACACAGCGAGCAGGTCATGGTGACACACTGCCGGGCGAAGTGACACGAGGAGACTGCCTGAGGTCAGGCAGCTCTTGGGGGAAAAGGAGCAGAGCCACTGGACCCAGCCTGGGCGCACCCGCTCCAGCCCAGTCCTGAGCCTCCGGTTTCATCTCAGGCATCTAGTGGCCTCCAAGCAGGCGATGTCCCAATGGTGACCAGCCCCCACCGCCTCTCCCCTGCCTTTTCTGCTATGGAATACCCCTCCCTGCTCCAAGGTGCCCGCCCAGACGAGGGCACCTTGGCTGGAGGTAGGGGGAATGGAACCTCCCTCTGCCCCCTCCCCTTCTCTGCAGATGTCCCAGGCTATATTTAGCCCAAACCGGGCGGCCAGCCAGACCCAGACTCCCCACTGGCCTGGAGCTGAGCTCCCAGTTTTTATGCAATTAAAACATTAACAGAGAACCACCCCCATTCCCACCCTGCAAGGCCCCCCAGCCCTGTCAGAGCAATAGAGCTCAGAAAACTTGAACAAGGGCAGCCCAGCTCTACAGCCAGTGATGGAGGTGGGAGTCATTGGGCAAACTGCAGCAAACTCATCTCCATGCTGTCTCCCAGGCCCTGCCCCCACAGGCAGGACAGAGACATCATCCATGAGATCAAGTTGACACTTGGATGGGGGTGGCAGGCTTTCCTTGTTCCGGCCTGGAAGGGAAAGGCATATCCAGTGGGTGAGGGGGTTGCCTGGTTGCAGAAATTCCACCTGTCATTTGCAGCCCCCTCCCTGACCAGCTCCAGTTACAAGGCTGGGGATTGGCAACAGGTGCTGGCCAGACTGGCAGCGGTCTAATCCCCCACCAGCTCCCCAGGCTGACAGTGGTGCCTGGAGGTCCCAGCAGGGGCCCTATAGGGCAGGATGCTAGGTATAAGAAGGAAGCATCACTGCCCCAGCAGGGCAGAGGGCAACCCATGGTCTTTCTGTAAGACCTGGCCCCCTGGACTCCATGATGTGTGTTGGAGGGACTGGGGAATGCAGGGAAACCTTAGTTCCATAGCACCTATTTCATTTCCCCATGATGCAGGGCGGGCAAGCTAGAGTGTGGGAGGTCTGTCTGCCTGCCTCTTCCTCCTCCTCCTCTCCAAATTCCAGGAACAGGCAAGGGAGGCTCCAGTTGTGGGGAGAGAGCAAGCAGGCGTTCACAGCTGGTGGGGGGTGGGGGGGTGGCGTGGGAGGCAAGATCCAGACGAAGCAAGAGACACCCACACCAGAGCCAGACTGGGGACAGACACACCGACGCTGACACATTCTCACACTCTGAGTCTGATCCCTGCACACCGCCCACCCTGCAGGGACACCCAGACACCCTCAGCCTATCCTGCCAATCCTCAGAACACTCCCTGGACACACACGGAGACCCAGGCCCTTGCCCCCACCCCACATCCCCCCACAAACCGTGTGGGTTCCAGGCAGCAGCCAGAGGGTGGAGAGAAGAGAGGGAGGGAGACAGCAGGCGTCAGAGAGGATGTGCAGCCAAAGCCCTAGGAGCTGGGGTATCAGTTGCCACACTGCTTTCCCAAAACCCAGTAAGTCAAGACAACCCTGGTCATCTCGCTAGGGGCCCTCCCAGCTTCCCACACTCCCAAACGACCACCACCAGAAAGAGGCACGGGGTGCTCGGCAGGTAGAGATTACCCCACTTATTTGTCACAGGGATAGGTTTGCCTTCCCCAGATGCTCATCATGCCAGATCCCAGACAGTGCTCCTGAACAGACCCCACAGAAGCCCAAGCACACCCACACCGCCAGCCTGGCTTAGGTCCTGCCCTGCCCTGCCCACGCTACCCAGCAGACAGGGAGCTGAGCATTGACGTCTATATTTTGGGGCAGGCCCCACCCTGTCACATAATTCTGAGGACCACCTCACCAAAGACCCTAAAATCTGAGCAAGGAGTGGCCTGGGGGGAAAGTTTACAGAGGGCAGAGCTAGCTTCCAAGACAAATTACTTAGGGGAAGGAGAGCTAATTAACTGGGTCTGAGCCAATGCCCCCAAAACAGACCTGAAGGGCCACTCAGACAATGTCCTCTCCAAGACACTAGATGGGGTGGCAGGAACCACGTCATGGCACATGTGGGTGACTATGCCTAGCAGGGGAGGCATGGGGGTGATCAGGATGGGGCTGCCCACAGCTAGCTTCCTGCCAGGCTGCCACATGGTTGAGAGTAGGAAGGGAACCAGAGAGGTGTCCCAGAGTGGCAGCAGGGGCAAACAGAAGGACGGAGATTTACGGCCCCTAGAAGGAAGTGGCCAGGACTAAGCTATTCCAAGCCCAGGGACACCTCACTGCATCTGCACTGGCCTTGCAGTCTGGTGGGTACACTCCTACGCTCACCACCTCATCCAGGATCACTCACCCTCAAATTCCCTCCAAATCCAAGATGCTCAGTTCCCAACGGCCTACTGAGTCTGACCCCAGTGACCGCTCAGTCTCAGGACTGACATGACCCAGACTACCAGCAAGAAATGATGTCCTAACCCCTCCCAGTGCACCAACATCTTTCATAGCCACAAACTCCTCGACTCCACGGCCACCCCCCCTTCCTCCAGCTCCAAGCACTCTTTGTCTTGTTCCCTCCCCCAGACTCATCTCCACTCCCTGCCACAGGGGGAAGCCCCAAGTCTCCAAGCCACCCCCACTCCAACCTGGGACTTCCCCCGGACAGCCTCCCCATCAAGTACAAGGCCCTGGAGGGGTTTGGGACTTGAGCCTGTTTCCCAGCAAGACCTGGTGTCTACTGAACAGTTCCCCAGAACAACCCTGCCCTGTGACCACTGGAGCCAGGGAAGAGGACAAGAGACATCCCTGAATCTCCTAACCAGGAAACTGGAGGAGGGATGGTGGTCAGGAGCAGAAGAGAGGGCTGGAGGTAAGGAGCAGGGAGGGGGTGGGAGATTGAGGGAGTGCTCCCAGGAACAAGTCCTCTGAGAACATATCATACACACATGTGCACAGCCCACAGGCACAAAGCCATCTGGTTACTGAAGAGGGAGCTGGCACCAGGTGAGGGCCAAGGGTACCCCTCCATGCCAGCCTGTGCGCATCCTATCCAAGATAGGATGGATGGTGAGGAAGTGGCCAAGGCTGGAGAGCTCTTGTGTGATTTCCATATGAGTCGGTCCTCATGTCTCCCTTTCCACAACGCAGCCTGACAATAGGGCAATCCCCAGAAAGAAGAGAGACATAGCCAAGCTGATTCTCCAGCACCAGCTTCCCACAGTCACATCTGGCTAGCAGCTTCCCCACCTCGTGGGTGGCAGGTCCCAGACACCCTCGACGCCCTCATCAGAGGAAGACGACCAGTCTGTTCCATCCTCCCTTCACCCCGAAAAGCTTTCACAACCCCATGGAAGCACCAGACCTAGAGACATCCCTCCCCCGACTGCACTGGCTCCCGCACCCAATTCTGTCTGCTCCCCTCACTCCAAGGGGGACACCAGCTGAGCGAGCCCCGCCCCCCAGCCGGCTGCCTCTGGTCGGGGGTGGGGGGTGCCGAGCTGATTCTCCCCAAACCACAGGGCGGCTCAGATAACAGGAGGGAGAGAAGGAGGGGGCTAGTCCGTTGGGCATCCGATCTCTCCCAAACAGGTTTGGAAGTCTTTTTGTTTTGCTTGTTTTTGAAGAGAAAAAAGAGACAGGGAGCAGAAGTTCCCAGCGGCTGTTCTGCCACAGCTCGGGCGCTGGGGACACGCGCTGCAGACGGCCCCAGCTGCCTCACGGCTGCGCGCGAAGACACGGGCGCAGACAGACGCACAGCCCCGACTCCCCCACCCTGGGTACGGCGGCGGCGGGCTGGGAAGCCCAGGAAATCCCGGGTTCCCGTATGAACCCGCCTGGCACCCCGTCCCCACGCTCAGCTCCCAACAGCAGCAGGCCAGGGGGCCCCATTGCCTGAGAGAGTTGGGGGCTCTCCAAACCCCCCAGGGGAGAGGGTACCTCGCATCCGGGGGTAGCAATTCTTCCGGGGAGCCCGCGAGCACGGCTTCTGCCCAGACCCTGAGCCTTGGTGCTGCTCGGCGTCAAGGGTGGGGGTCCCAGAGAGGAGCCGTCTGGGGGGCCGCGGCTCAGGGGCGCGGGGCGAAGGCAGCGGCCATGGCGAGTCACGTGCGGTGGCTGAAACTTTACCCGGAGCCCCAGACTGGAGGGGCGGAGGGTACAGAGCATGGAAGGGAGGCCCTCTCCCTCAGGCCCGCCCCTCGGCCTATCACCAGCTAGGGGTGGACCCGGGGCTCACGCACCCGCCCCTTACAGACTCAGAGACGGGCGAGTCTTAAAGGAGCCGCGCCTAGCAGAAGGCAGGACCGTGGGAATCTGGGAGATCCCTCCCCCCGCCCCAAAACGCGATTCAGAGCAAGGAGGGGGTGAAGTTCTGCGGAAAATATGGAAAAAGAGCTCGGCGGAGAAAGGACTGCAGTGTGTAGTATCACACTCCCTTCCTCCCACACACAGGGGCACAGATCACACACACACACCACTCCCAAACAGGAGAAGAGAGGCTGTGGCATAATATGGAAGTGAATACAGTAACTTCGGCCCTAGTTGTCAAGCCCCTAACTCCAATAATTATAATCCTCTTCTAGGGACCACTTGGAACTGAGAACTGTGTGACCTCCAACAAGTCTCTTTCTTTCTCCGAATCTTTATATTCTCATCTGCAAGAGTTCAAGAGTAGGTAGAACTACCTCATATACACCTCCTCTCTTCCTCCAAAGACCTCTTCAGCTCGAGTGGATCGGAGGAACTCTGGCCCAACCCAACCCACTCAGCAACACCCTCCGAAAGGGATCTTGGAAGATCCAAGAGCCGAGTAGGGGGCGCCCAGGAGCACCCCTGCAGGCTAAAAGATTCTCAGGCTCAGCTTCCCTCTCCCGGCCCAGGCTGGAGGACCCCGCAAAGCTTGCATTCCTGTTCCAGCAGGGCAGGACCTGAACCACTCTCCATCTGCAGAGACTCCAGTCCACAGAAAGCCAGAGCCCCCTCGCAGCCTTCTGCTCCGTTTGCGAGGATCATGTCTCCACCTCTAGTAGCCATAAGCGGGGGTGGGAGACGGGGACAAGAGCAGAATCACCAGGGAACACGCCCCGCTCCCCGTTCCTGGTCAGAGAAGTGGCCAAAAGTGCCCCCACAGGACTTCCCACCGGAAGGGGAAGTGCCACATTCCCAGGCCTCCACCCAGTGGGGAGACTCGCAGCCTGACCCAGCTGGCAGAGCTCTCAAACCCACCGGCCCGACGCCCCCTGACGAGGAACCAGAGGCCAGAACAGACACCGGGTTTTGTCCACGCTCAAACCGGTTGCCCCGCGGAGGCTAGAACTGAGGTATCTGATTGTCTCTCTCCAGCTTTAGTCCCCCAGCCTTGAAAGAGAGGACAAGTCGGGTAGTAGGGACTCTCAGCCCCGAGATCCGGCGCAGGGGAATGGTGCCCAGCAGCACCGGGCAGCGCTTCCCAGACCCCTTCCCGCCCGCTGGGCCGGGCTGTCTCTAGCTCCCGTCTGGATTTCCGTCCGCCGGTGCGAACCGCCCGCCTGCCCCCTCCTGCCCTGCCCTGTCCCGTCCAGATCCATCCGCAAACATGCGCTCAGCGGGCAGGAATGCGCCAATGGCTCCCAGATGTGGACGCCGACGCTTAACCCCTTCTCCACCAGCCCCCCTTCTCCCCCAAAAGCCTTCCATTCTAAGCCCAGCCAGCAGCAGGCGGCGCTGCCCAGGTGAGGGACTAGCCTGGGGGGGGACTCAGCGCCATTACCCCCAGCCCGCAGAGGCTCTTCCTGGCCTAGATTCAGCCAATCTTCCTTCCAGGCGAGGCTGGAGGGGAAGGATCATGGACATAAAAATGCAAGCGTGCATAAACACAGCTACACTTCCACCCACAATGGGTGGCCTTCACATACACCTGCCAGCATGTGGAGTCAGGTACACTCGTGCACGCCAAGATTCAGGTGTGTAAATGCACACCCAGGACACCCATATATGCACACTCACATGCACATTCAGAGCACACAATTGTACACCTCCACATGCACACCCAAGGCATGCATTTGTCCACATCCATGAACACACAGAACAAGCACATACCAGAGAGGCATTTGTGCACGCACAAGATCATGAAACAGAGGGTGTGGCACACTCCTGACCAAACATAGTAGTAGGCCTGTGTGCATATGAGTGAAGAAGTTCATGCACCCACAAATCTGCTCCCCACAGGGAGTCAGGCACTCATGCACTGCAAACTGGAATCCAGGAGTATAAACGCAGGGCCTGCACACCTTTGGGGCACTCCCTCCCTGCCCAGAGCACCCAGTACTGCCTGTCCAATGTCTAGCCCTACCCAAGCTTGACCCAAGCAGGAGAGGTCCCCAGGTGGGGGGGCCAGGAGTCTTCAATCTACAGCAGTAGTTGAACTCCAGCTGGGCTGGACCCACAACAGGGTCTCCACCCTCCAGGGACCCTCATTCAGGGGTAGAGAAGAGTGCAGGAGGCAGCAGGAGGCTAGCAGAGGGAGAAAAGCCCCAGCCCCAGGGGCTCCTCACTCTAGGAAAGGCACTCCTTCTTGGGGCCTCCCTTTCCTCTCCTGCACACAGAAGGAGATGGCCTGGGGGAGGAGCCTGAGCCCTGGTGTCCCAAGACAGGGCTCCCTCTCCAAACCGAGGAAGCACAAGAGAGAGCCCTGATAGGTGCAGGGCCAGTGACAGCCCCCTTCAGTCAATGAGAGACAAAATAGCTCAGACTCTCCCCAGGAGGGCCCACACTTGGAGCAAAATAAGGCCTCCCTCTCCCAGGCTGTGGGGAACTCCAATCCAAGAGTATCAGCAGTAGTCTGAACAGAGATGGGAGACCCTCCAATAAGACCACCTGGATGCAGGTGGGGTGGGACATGCCTGCTGGAACGTGAACTGGCCCCAGCTGACGCCTCTTCCCCTCCCCAGCCTCCCAGCTCTTCCCCAAAGGAGCTCTGCCCACAAGCAGCCTTAGGGCCCCACCCAATTTGAGTCTTACAGTCCCAAAGGGTAATCTAGGGCAAGGCTCCTGCTCCTTTGTTCAGATGAGAAAACTGAGGCTCAAAAAGGATATTGCCTTGCCCAAGGTCAAACAGCTTGTCAATGGCAGAGCTAAGATCAAATACACAGTCCCCTCAAATCCCCTGCCATTTATTCTGAATCAAACATACTTCTACACAGTTCCTTGCTGCGTCTTCCTTTACCCCCTCAACAGAGACCATGGGAGAAACACCATCCTCACTTGGCTCTGCAGGTTTGTGGGTGGGGCCAGGCCATGCCAGAGAGAGATCAGAGAAAACACTGGGGGCTACACACATGGTCCCCTAGCCCCACCCCAAGCAGGGTGCCCACCTGCCCAGCAGGCACGACTGGGTGACTCAGCTGCATCCGGGGGAGATGCCAGGGCAGTGACTCACCTACCGAGAAGAGCTGAGCCTGGCACATTGCCAGCCCCAGGACAGAAGTGACTTAGTCACCGAGGCTGTGATGCCCAGCAGACACAGCCCAGGGATTGGGGACAGGGACAGGCTGTGTTCTCCGTAATTACATGCGCCCCGTGGTGAAGAGCAGGCATCCTGGGGCAAGCCATGGCTGTATGTACCCCTGCCCCCTCACTGCCTACCCCCGTCATGCCAGGCCCTATTCCAGGGCAAATGTTTTGTGAGACCCCTGGGCTGCCTTGCCTTGCTGCAGCCTGCCCCCTGCCCATCACTCACTACCCACTCTCCCACCAGCCCCACCTCCTCCTGCCACCCAAGTTGTACCCAGGCTGTGAGTCTCCTGTAACATGTCCTGGCAGCACCTCCTGCCCCCACGGCCCCTCTCCCCGCCACCCACACATGCACTCATACACACTTCTGCCAGCCCTGCTGAAGTTGTTGAGCAGGAGGGGAATCGGGAGGGTGGAGTGCAGGGATTGAGTTACCAGAGGCTGACGGGGTGGGCTGTCACCCAATCCCTTCCCCAGCTAGTCTTCCTCCTTGGGTAGAGTCTCCCTAGCTCACCTGCTTCCCTTCCACCTCTGGCTGGCAGCTTACTGCCATCTAAGACCCTCCACCCCCACTTCACCCAAGCTAGAAAATAAATGTTCAAGAGTATTTGTCATGCTAAGGCCAGCCCAGTCTATGAAAGAAAGAGAGAAAATGAGAGAGTCAGAGATGGACAGAAAGAGTAATTCCTGTGCTCCCTGCTCTGGCTACAACCACTAGGTGTGTGTATCTCTGTGTAGGTTGAGCAAGAAGGGGACTGCGTAATTCTCTTAGTCCCAGGAGAGTTGATGGGGCCCAAGGGGAGTCGACAGGCTGAACGACCTCAATCCATTTGCACTATTGATTTCTCACACACCGCAGCAGGCCTGATGGGGGCATGATAAATCAGCCCCCCAGAGACATGGAAACTGAGTGGACAGTGGGGAGGGGCTCCTGCAGGCACAGTCTGTGGCCCACTGAGACCAGCTTGGCTGGGAGAGGGTCCAGGGCAGAGCAATAAGAGATGTCACGCGACAGGAGGCAGGGTGGGGAGTGGGTGTTGGATTAAAGCCTGTCTGGAACAACTCCTTCCAGCTGGATCTGAAGCTGATCCAAAGAAAGAAAGTGGGGTACAGAAACACTATGTTTATCCTCATAGGCAGGATTCCGAGCAGCTCCGGGGCACCATCCATATTATAGTCTATGGAATGGTTTTTCCTGCCCCTTTTGCAGTGCAGTGGCCCTGGGGATGAGGCTGAGGCAGGAGACCAAATTCTGAGGGACCACCATTCTCCACCAAGCTTTTGCCAGCACACTCCCTGTACCCCCATGCCCCCCACGCCCCCGCACCTCAACCTACGGCCCCTGCTTCCAGGGCTCAGAAGAGGGCTCACTTCGTACTTGGAATCACAAGCCTGTGGTAATCCCCGATCTTCAGCCCTGTTCCCTTCCATTGTCGGGGAAATTGGCAAACAACCACCATAACCCAGGTGTGCCAGGAGGGGGGCTCACAAAGGGCTCTGGGGAGTCTGCAGACCTACATTCTACTCTCTGTGGTCCTGGGACTGTGGGCAAATCCCTGACCCTCTTGGTTCTTTAAAATGGAGTTAGACTGGATGTCCCTTCTCTAAAGTGTCTCCAAGCCCCACAGCTCACCAGGCTATGAGCCTGTTGGAAGCTGCCCAGCACCTCGACTCACACCAGTGGCCACAGGCCACCTAAACAAACCCCAACCCTGACCTTCTTCCAGCCTGGACACAGACTCTCTCCACATGGTGGAGACTTATAAACAAACCAAGCTGGGGTTTCCCGGGGACTCTGCACAAACAAGCAGAGAGGGAAACAGAGCAAGCACCCTGGCCTAGGTCGCCCTTGCTGCACAGCCAGGTGTGGAGAGGGACCGTGAGGAAGGGAAAATGGTGCAAGGAGCCTGGTTCCGGTTGCCAGCCAATGACCTGCTGAGTGGCTTAGGGCAAGTCCATTCCCTCTCCAGTCTTCAGTTTCCCCTCTGCCAGGGGGTGGGGGGGACTGCCTAGATGGCCTCTAAAATCCCTTCCAGTTCTAAGTCTAGTAAGACAAGGAGATCCCTGAAGGGTCCCCAGGGCTCCTCTGCCCAGCCGAGCCTACCTGCCTGGGTCAGGACCCTCTCCACAAGGCCCTCCCCCTACCGCACCATCTCCATGCTCTATCTGCCGCCCCTCTGGCCCTTCCTCACTCCTCCATCCGTGTGCTTACTCTCACCTTGGCCAGCCCCTCTGCCTGCCCCGTGCTTTTCTGCACGTCCCTCCTGCCAGGGGACAGACCAACTAAAAATAGTCCCTGCAGCCTTTCTCGCCCACAGCTGCCCAAAGAGCAGGAAATGAGGGGGGCAGGGAGGCCCATGTCCTGCTCTCCCCCCCTAGACTCCCAGCTCCGAACCATGTCCAGCACTCCAGCCTGGGGCTAGTGCCAACTTGGCCATCGGGGGCATCCCACACCCCTTCCCTAGGGGCAGGCCTGCCCATAAGTGCCTACGATCACAGAGCTGTCCCTACCCTGCCAGAGGAGGAAAAGAGGCAGGCAGTCTAGAGGGAAACCTTCCCAATTTCTGACAAATCAGTGCCAACCACATTGTAGGCACTGAGAGGGCAGGGCCTGGCTCCACCGACCGGTCTTTTGAGGGCAGAGGGAATTGGCATGGGGAAGTTTGCTTCCTTCATCCTGGCCCAGCTGGAGGGAAAACAAAATAGTGCCCCAGCCTCAATTATGCTAATCCCCTGCTCCCCAAAATGTGTGGGAGAACACAGGGGTTTCAATAGCCACCCCGAGATATTATGGGAAAAAAGCTAAAAAAAATAGCGAAAGATTTTGGCT